CCTCATAATTAATCGTATGATCTCACAGTCTATTGGTTGAAGGCTCGGCCTGTCGTCGTGTACCCAGCTGTATATATTATAGCATATAGCATGGCGTCATGTTACTGATATTCAGTGCTTTCTTTTCCCCTGGATGTTTAAAGTAAGTCATGTTACAGAAAATACCGATGCATGTGACGTCCTAATGTTTATGAATGTGTAGTTGATGATTTAATAGACACAATACCTAGATATATTTGACAAGTGAATCCTTTTGGCATTTGTTTTGTTTCCTACTTAAATTGTTTCGGCGAAGGAATGTTTCGTATACATCTAGTTATAGTTATAGGAAATACCTGTGCATATGACGTCATGGGTTGGTTATACCTAATGGTTATGAATGTGTAGTTGGTAATTTAATATTCACAATACCCAGAAAAATGTTTTGTGATGTCCTCGTATTCGAGCGTGTAGAATCTGAATATGAAAACGAGGTATCGTAAAACAGGAGATGCCTCGGTGCGACCGACGTTCCCCATTACTTACATTGTCACTGCGGGTATTAATTTACGAGGGAGGAGAGTTAATCTGGAAGTAATGCTTGCAGAGGGAGGTAATTACAACAGCAATCCGTCTTTTAAAAGCGTATAACTGCTTTGTATACAACGTGTAGAGTTTTAACGAATTAATATCCGGAAAGACACTGGTAATCCCCCGGACCGATGCCATATTCCGGAGCATTAGCGGCGCGTGTAATTATCCCCCCACCGCAAGATACATTGCGAATTTAGGAGCCCGACGCCTGAGTTAATTTAGACCAAAATGGAGGATACTTGTATCTCTCTGACAGAAAATTGCTCAGAAAAATGAGAGTTATATTCATAAATATGTTTTTCGACGCAGCGGAAATGAATGTACTTTGTGGGCACGGGCCTGCCGTCATCAGGAATCGCTAAAACTGAAATGAGAAATTAAGCGAACAGAGAGCCGTTACATGTATAATGACGTGACTAAGTGGTTCGGAGACGGTGCAATAACGACGTAACTTGATGTATATTGCACCGAGGAAATGTTGTTTTTTTTAAAGTTGCTCATATGACGCATTGTGATGTTCCCCCAGATCCGAAGAGACACGAGCCGCCCATCTTTGCATTGAATGTACATTGCTCTTTTCCGTATAATACTTATAACTGTAATAAATCAGATGAAGATATCGGTTAGTATTTATCATATCAAGAAACACTCAAAAACAGAGGTGAGTTTTGTTAATCATTTTCACCATATTTTCCACCATTTCAGAAACAAATACATCAAAATTATTCAAATATTTCCATAGCGTACATTATAAATATTTTTAGCTCTGAACCTCTAACAGACCCCAGAGCACTGCACCCATCCCCTTCTCATCTCTTGCAGCCTATACTCATCCACTTCTCAGCTCCAGTAGCCTATATTCATCCCCTACGTTCACCCCAAGACTAACATCTAGTCTCTGAAATGAACATATTTTACAGAAAAAAACAGTTGTTAACTTATAGTTATAAAAAATAATAAAAAGGAGCCCAGAGACTTTCTTCATTTTCAGATACTGCAGTAATCTAGACTTGCCAAACATTATAGACTTGCATGGGCTGTATTCGATAGATTTGTTTCAGGGTCTGTATGACAGACTAAGTTCACCCCCTTCCCGGCTCTAGCAGCTCATACTCACCCCCTTCACAGCGCAAGCAGCCTATACTCATCCCCTTTTCAGCTCTATGAGCCTACGCTCATCCCCTTTACAGCTCTAGCAGTCAATACGCATCCCCTTTTCAGATCTAGGAAATAACTCAAGAAACATGAGGGTTCCTTAATGTTGTTGTTGTTGTTGTTGCATTAAGTGTTTGAGAGGGCGCCTTCTGCCTAAGCAATTTCGGCTGACCTGTCCCTCTTTGGGACTCCTGTGTGTGAGCAGGGTACACCTATCTATTGTGAGTTTGGTATTCACATCATTTCTGTTTTTGTATTGATTTGATTTCTATTTTCTTATATTGATATAATTTCATTTTTATCCTTGGCTGTTCTGTTTATATACGTTCGAGTAGCTGTCCATCTTACAGAAATAGAGTTAGTTTGGTCTTCGCTATTGCATCGCTTGGCTTTAGGAGATCTATCTAGGAGATAGCGGATCTAACTGCAATTCTGGTTTTAACCTATCCCGGGCTGGGGCATGGTCTTGACATTCTAATGACACGTGAGCAGCCTGATTGCATGATGAACATACCTTGTCATATGGTTCCTTAATACTCGAGGGTTCTTTATATAGAATTATTTCTGTTTAACCTTATACGAGATCATGAGTATATTTCAGGGACTATATTCTAGTCAACCAAGGGCAAGGAATAAGTTCGGACGGAGTGTTATCGGCGATTTGAACTTTACTGACAGTAACAACAACGATTGTGATTTATTCTGTAACATTGGATTATATTTGTGATACAATGTTACAACATTAGTTATTCAATCAAGTCTCGCTCTCATTCCCGAATGTCACGTGGGAGGAGATGTCACAATAAAGCTTAATACATTTTAGTCGGCATCACGGCGTATTTTCATTGAAACCGGACTCGAAGTTATAAAAAACAAAACAAACTTAATTGTAATATTTCCGCCAGTTTTACAACCAGAAACATTGATTCTTTAAAATTGCTGGTGATGAAAAAAACTTATGTTTCCTGTTATCATATTTGCATGAATGTGTCACTTGGCTATGATATACACGGGGTATACGGAAGAAAAATAAATATATTTATTAACGTGCCACGTGTTGTATTATATAAAATACACAATTAAAACACGATGAAGTAAAACATCTTGCCTGTCGGCCTACGAGGCACGTTTAACCTTGAAAAACAATAATTAAAAAAGGATAAAGAATATGACACATAGAGTCACACAAGACATTATTATCCTTTTTTCGTAAATAAATAACTCCGAGGGGAACGCGGCGGGGTTTAAAACAAGCGTTACTATTCATAACAAATACCTGCTTGTCGACTGAAGGTTCTAGGCTGAGGATATAATATCTTTCAAAAGATATCTGTCAAATCGTTACATTTTCTTAAAGTCATTAATATAAACTGCAAAGAGTGGGAGTAACATGCACAACCCTGGCGGACATCAGAATGTATCTGAAATATACATGTATCGCTACCGTTGATGCGAAACCATGCGTTCCTGTACATGGACTGAAGCATGACAAAATTACCCTTTACTGACCTTGAGAAGTTTACACCAATGACACATTGTTGGCGCCCATATTTGCTTCAATTTATAGATCAAAGGGATCTTGTTAAAAGGAATTGAATTAGGTTTTGTTTACTATTAATTCTCAAGCATAAATGGTAATTATTTTATTTTATTTATTTGGAAGTTTGCTGTGTTCTAAAACCCTCTGGACATGTGTGTCGGGCAACTTGCACACAGATGGCGCGATGTGTACCAGTGTAATATAGACATAGGGAGAATTTAAAAAGTAATGAGAAAGAATGATTTAACGTCTTAGTTAATGTTCGTTTTAACCTTAGTGCCAGTGTTAGGTGGCATATACTTTAAAGCATGTCTAATGGTGTAGTTTGTCATTAATTTGATATTAAATCACTGGATATTAAATTTAATCAAATATGCAAACTGGGTTTTTTTCTAAACCACGCTGACTTTGGACATTTAATTCTTCCTTAGATGAGCACAATCTAAAAACTTGCAACTCTAACAACAGGTGTTAATACGATAATATGCACGGCTCGACGAAAATGCGAGGACTTCGGTCCAGATTCTGGGCAATAGATAACACTGCATCGAGCCCATAACGAGGATAAAGGCATCACATCTCCTTTATGTCTAACATCGTGACATTTCCATTAGTTTGATAGGCTGTTTGTAACACTTTCTCTCCCCCGGCGTTACCGACTAGCTAATATGTGTTTTTAACCCAATCTTTATCTATTTTATATTAAACATTACAGCGTTTAAGCGTCACACCAACAGCTGATGTAATGAGAAGGGGATCAGTGCTGGTACTTGATAGCGCGAATGTGTTTGCTAGTTTTGATGTTCATATCAGTAATTTAATGTGCATATAGATACGGCAATACCGCAAATTACAATATAAGGTTCCGTAATGGAATATATACGTACCTTGCAACACAATGTTTAAACAAACAAACAAGCGAACATAACCCGTTAAGCCTTTGACCAATGAAAGCTTGATGTCGGTTTACACGTAATACACTTGTTATGAGTGAAACTAACGTCTTTACGCGTAAAACTTACTTCCAATCGATGGATTTAGCTTTACGGGTAAGATACTATTTTATACGCGTAGCAATTTGTTTAGGTGTAAAACCACATTGACTATTCATTTGTCAAAGTATTTACACGTATTGAGTTTAGCTTTACGCGTAAAACAAATACCTTTACTTGTATATGACCAGCTTTTCACGTAAAACAACTAGGTTCACGCTAAAGTCAGCTTATGTAGATTTCCCATTGGTCAAAGTCTTTACGCGTAATGAATTTAGCATTACGCTTAAAGTGTAGCATCTTCTGCCCCTGCTCGTTAACCATAAAGTCATGGCACATTCTTGTGGCACCGAGTATGACACGAACACACACACGCGCACGCACGCACGCACGCACGCACGCACGCACGCACACACACAATAAAATTCTCAATATGCTTAACATTGCATGCGTCGAACTAGATATGTTTGTTAGGTTCGAACGTATATAAGGTTTAACCAAGAAGGAAATACTTCGATGTCACGGTTTGGATTATCGTTACAGTATGTCTCGGCACAGTATGGTACAAACAACAACAAAGACTGCATGTTTCAAGTTAATTGAGTCTTTTTCTATACATTTTGACATAATGAAGTAACATATTGCTGATGGCAAATTTAAAAGAATTTCCATAATATGACATCTAATAGTGCTATCTGACTGAATCCACAGTGGGACCGTGTCCAACCTACCCTCGTAAGCTGGACAGTATCCACCCTACCCTCGTATTGATGGACAGTATCCACCCTACCCTCGTATTGATGGACAGTATCCGGCCTGCCCTCGTATTGGTGGACAGTGTCAAACCTACCCTCGTATTGATGGACAGTGTCCGGCCTACCCTCGTATTGATGGACAGTGTCCGGCCTACCCTCGTATTGATGGACTGTGTCCGGCCTACCCTCGTATTGATGGACAGTATCCAACCTACCCTCGTATTGATGGACAGTGTCCAACCTACCCTCGTATTGATGGACTGTGTCCAACCTACCCTCGTATTGATGGACAGTATCCGGCCTGCCCTCGTATTGATGGACAGTATCCAACCTACCCTCGTATTGATGGACAGTATCCAACCTACCCTCGTATTGATGGACAGTATCCAACCTACCCTCGTATTGATGGACAGTATCCGGCCTACCCTCGTATTGATGGACAGTATCCAACCTACCCTCGTATTGATGGACTGTGTCCAACCTACCCTCGTATTGATGGACAGTGTCCGGCCTACCCTCGTATTGATGGACAGTGTCCGGCCTACCCTCGTATTGATGGACAGTATCCGGCCTACCCTCGTATTGATGGACAGTATCCGGCCTGCCCTCGTATTGATGGACAGTATCCGGCCTACCCTCGTATTGATGGACTGTGTCCAACCTACCCTCGTATTGATGGACAGTATCCACCCTACCCTCGTATTGATGGACAGTATCCGGCCTGCCCTCGTATTGGTGGACAGTGTCAAACCTACCCTCGTATTGATGGACAGTGTCCGGCCTACCCTCGTATTGATGGACAGTGTCCGGCCTACCCTCGTATTGATGGACAGTGTCCAACCTACCCTCGTATTGATGGACTGTGTCCGGCCTACCCTCGTATTGATGGACAGTATCCGGCCTACCCTCGTATTGATGGACAGTATCCGGCCTACCCTCGTACTGACGAACAGTATCCAACCTACCCTCGTATTGATGGACAGTGTCCAACCTACCCTCGTATTGATGGACAGTGTCCGGCCTACCCTCGTATTGATGGACAGTGTCCAACCTACCCTCGTATTGATGGACAGTGTCCGGCCTACCCTCGTATTGATGGACTGTGTCCGGCCTACCCTCGTATTGATGGACAGTGTCCGGCCTACCCTCGTATTGATGGACAGTGTCCAACCTACCCTCGTATTGATGGACAGTGTCCGGCCTACCCTCGTATTGATGGACTGTGTCCGGCCTACCCTCGTATTGATGGACAGTGTCCGGCCTACCCTCGTATTGATGGACAGTGTCCGGCCTACCCTCGTATTGATGGACAGTGTCCGGCCTACCCTCGTATTGATGGACAGTGTCCGGCCTACCCTCGTATTGATGGACAGTGTCCAACCTACCCTCGTATTGATGGACAGTGTCCGGCCTACCCTCGTATTGATGGACTGTGTCCGGCCTACCCTCGTATTGATGGACAGTGTCCGGCCTACCCTCGTATTGATGGACTGTGTCCAACCTACCCTCGTACTGACGAACAGTATCCGGCCTACCCTCGTACTGACGAACAGTATCCAACCTACCCTCGTACTGACGAACAGTATCCCTCCTACCCTCGTATTGGTGGACAGTGTCAAACCTACCCTCGTATTAATGGACAGTATCCGGCCTACCCGCGTATTGATGGACAGTATCCGACCTACCCGCGTCAGTGCGACATACTGTGTGTTCTACGTCTGCTGGCAGGTGTGCCCAGAAATGTACTGCTTCACGTTTAAGAAAAATAATTACACCAACTATTAGAGCTTTATGTGCTGTAAATACAGAACCACACGAGACCTGCAAGCAGGTATGTGGCTAGATCACACAACCTGATGAAATATATTACAGTCAATTACATGGCGCGTAAAGATAACAGTGTACGTGTAGCCTTTACGGTGTGAAATCTGCATCACATCAACACGCTGTTTACATGTGTTTTGCATATGCGGCAATGTTGGGAAATAGGGGTAATATGGTCAAAACATGTGCAGATATTAACATGAGAACATTTTTGTCATAAAAAAATCATGTAAAGCCTGTTTTCATATTGATGTATTTAATACTGTAAACTGGGGCGATAGACATAGAACTGCTATAAACACGGCCATGTCTGCTTATTGTTTTATATGAATGTGATAGGATGAACTGGTATCAAGTTCTCAAACGTCGGTACACATTTGTGTTAGGGACGACACAGAATCTATAATGTAAAAAGATCAATAATATTAATATTATTAGCATAATTACTGTTATCAGTCTCGTCATGCTATATCATTGAAATATTTTTCATATTTAGTATCATTTTTGTTTTCGAAATATTTTCAGTGTGTCTCATGCACGAAGTGTAATATCATATTATTAATTGAATATTCATCATACTTTTGTAATCGCCAATTGATTTGAAATCGTAAAATTACATTTAATAATCCAATTTTTTTAAGACTTTTGAAAGATACTGAAGAGACACTGGGCAGGTGTAATTTCGATCAGGACATTTGAAATATTAAAAGTATATGATAAACAAACAAAGAAATAAACAAACTGATTACGTCTAGTCGCGAAACAAAATAACAAAACAAAGTAAGAGAAAAGGCATTGGGTTTAAATATTTAAAGGAACGGCGAAACTTGACTTACAGACAACCATAACTGGGGTAGCTTTTTTATATTAATATTCTATTATTTGTTTTCATAAATTACATTTTTGTTTTCAAATTAAGGTGACCATGGTAACAGAACCTGAATTGTTTCAAGTCTACATTGGGCATGATCAGTCAAGACAGTATTTTACTGCAGTCGCTTTCTTGTCGTTTAAATAAACGTTATTTGTCGAACATCGACACACATTTAATTATTTCTAAATGGCTACATAATGGAGTAGACTGCCTACCCCTATCACCCACCCCACCTGCGAGTCCCAACCCCACAGAACGGTATGCCTTGGGGGAGACGTTCTGTTTATGTACGCAGTGGCCCAACACATTCCGTGAGTTACGGATCTGCCCACATGTGCCGCCTGACCCTACGGTCGGGGAAGTGTCTTCATAACTGCCCGGGGGGTAAGGCGAGGGGTGAGAGATGCACGTGCAAGCGCGGATCAGTTTAGCTTGTCGGCAATTTCATGAATTTTTGTCCTTTCACAAAATTCGTGTTTTCTCCTGATTGATGGCTGGCTTGGCTCGGAATGAATGCTGGGGCAATCTCTAAGAGCGTCCATTTGTCAAATCTGATGCGACCGGGGGTGATACCATAGCGACGCGGTGGATGATGTACTCACAACGGAAATTATATAATTTCGAAATGATAAGCCTTTCTAACGATATCCATTTCTGATTTAAACGAAAATATATGTTTTTGTCATTTATGATGTGAGAATTGATTGTGTCCATATGTTCAAAGGAGTTCATGTGCTGCACCTAGCGCTCCGTCCTTTCTGAAAATAAATAGAACTACCCTTGCTTGTTCTTCAAATAATATTATAACTTGCCATATACATACGGTCTGCTTAGGTTACATCTTCTGTGATGTGTCATGATTATTTGTTTCAAATATATGCCATAAGAATTGTTTAACGTGATACACTGACATATGAAAACCAGGATACTCGGACACACCGGAACACGGTATCACAAAACAAGCATGTCTCATTGTTTTCTAGTTGTAAATTCCAATATCAGCAGGATATTGTGTTGTGGGAAAAGCCTTTGAAATACACCGATAATTAGGATAGCCTATTGCAGAAACACAATCAAACAAGCTAGACATGTTATAGTCCATGGCGGACGCGGTTCAACCTGATGCTAGATAGCACCCTAATTACGTTGCCCTTGCATAATATCGACTTCCGTCAATTCCGTCTTCGCAGTAAGCCTGTTTGCGATTTAATCTTTGCTAAGAAACGTTAGGCTCTGTCTGTAGTAATCTGTAATTGCACAAATTAATTTTACTGTAGATAAATAGAATGAAGGCCATATGGCTGGGCCATCTACACGTGTGTTTTATTTCACTTATAGATGTATATAAAAGATTTATGTAATAAAACAATTCTTCTTCTGAATACTAAATGTCTTGCATCAAGATGAAGAAGATTGCGTCGGGTTGCACTAATTATTTGTATTTTCTCAATTTTTGTTCATTTGTCTTTTATATTTTTAAGAGAATATCGCATTTTTACAGTAATACGTGTTCTCCTAACAAAACTAAAAATACACAAAAGCTATATTCCTCATCACAAAAAGGTTTATAGTGCGGAGCGTAAGGGGTTAATAAAGCATATGCGATTCCAAATTGTTCTTGTGGCTACCACCATGAAGATGCGCTTCACTATTTCTTTACTTGTACCAACTACACTGGCACACGAAGAAACATGTATTTTTACTCTAAAGGTTATGTTCTAAACGTTATTCGTTATGGAAATGCACATTTCCTTGCAAAGATTAAGTTTGAAATACTAAAATCTGTTCATAATTTCATATCACCCTGGGGCAGATTGTCAAATTTTGTCCAAGTGCAAAAAAACTTGCACTCACATCTGATTTTTGCTGACAATGTTTTCCCTTAGCATGAACAGAGTCGACAACTGTTTTTTATGCAAAATAATCACCTTATTACTTACCCGTGACTGTACATAATAACTGATGACAGTGTATGACCACTGGAGCGGTATTAAGATAAGCCTTTACTTGTTTACCAATCCAGCTTCACAGCTTATTTGTGAAATAAATATGTTTAAAATATATGCAATCCAACATAACAAGTGATAAATAAAAGCAGAGAATAACTAGAATTTAACACGTTGCAGGTTATCCAAGTTTGATAGTCTCCACATTTATATACTGAGTTCAATTGAATGTACAACACCATCTACAAAAGTCCATCACTTTTAATTATGGCCCACAAGTCATAGGTCCTTTCAAAGGATGTTAGGTTTTATCAAAACATAACATTGATATTGCACGAGCAATTTACACATTGTTCCCAATACCACTGTTACCACTTTTATCAGCTAGACTCGTTCCTGCCAACATGTATATATAAATTGGTATTATCAAAATTATTTCAATTTAAAAAGAAAATTCAATTTTATTTTAAAATATCTATTACATGTGATTTCTATAGACTTTAACCTTTCTTTAAAATAAAGATTTGAAGAATTTAATTGTTCATAAATATATCCAAACCATAGTTTCATTGTTTGAATACTCCTTCCTCCCGAGCCCACAGTCCATCGCATACAACACTAACGGAGAGGTGGCAAAATATACGCAATATTTGCAGCATATAAAATCTTACATTCTACAATAAACCGACTTTTTTGCTAACGTAAATAAAAAAAATAATATCGTGAGAGTTGTTTTAAAATAAATGGGATTTTCTTTGTCTTCTTTGACTAGAACCAAGATGTGCTTGTCATATAAATGACGTTCTTTCAAATATTTTAGCATCGATTACACGTTCGAGATTTCATCACCAGTGTAAAAAGGCAGCCAGACAATGAAATATCCTGCTGTGTTTTCGGAATGTAAATAAAACACACTTTTCCTAATATACATGTATGTGATAAAGTTATATAAAGAAACGAAAGAATTTTAATATGTCCGCTGCTGCTTTGATGTCAAGGCAGAAGTAGCTCACACTGTTGATGCGCCTTCAGCTACCGTCCTAACTATAATAAAATTCGTCAAGTATTATAAAGATATTACATTTCAGCCTGCTGTGTTGACTTTGATTTTAATTATGATTATTTGTGTAGGCAAACAAGTGGTGAACACAACCCAACTGTCCTGCAGCGCGACCAGGGTACTTAGCATGCCACGGACCGTCTTGACCATGTATTGTTTACAAGTTATTTCTGTCTTGGGGGGTCTCTCAAGAGCCGAGATTTAAATTCACATCGTAGGCAATGAAACAATGAAATTAATCGCCTGCAATGTTGCTGATTGCCCAAGGGGGTTAGATGGGTGCTGATAAGGCTGCCCCCTCTCCACCCTTCCCGACAGGCCCCGAGGTAATCTGCACGTAGTCCAGGCGGCCAAGGGAAGTAACTATGTGACCCACTTCCGGTCTCTTCTCGGTTTTCTACAATGTCGAGACTGCACGATGTGATTGGCCAGATAAGCGTCGCAATCATAAGGAAGGGTCACTCTTGGAGGGTTGTCAGGCGGGTGATTACGACTCGTATCGTAATTCCGTCATACCATTAACGCACAGAAAGATGCCAATAGGCAATGCTGTTTGATTGGACAGTGACGTCAGAGTGGCCCCGGAGTAACAATTGGTGTCTTTAGGGTGAAGAAAAAATTCCAAAGCGGAAAAAAACGTTATTTTTCTTGTTATAAGCCAAATGACAGCCCTTTAAAAAGGAACAAAACATTTAGAGTAGTAACTCGACTCGAGTCAAAGTACATTTACGAGTAATGAGTTTGATTACTGCTACTCAAACACTTTAGTCGTTTTCGCAAATAAGATGTTACAGCCTTGTTGCAATCTAGCTATTCCTTAGGGCACCAATGGCAACCAAGGTTTGAAACTCGTCGTCTTCTTTCAGGCTGAACAAGAGCATCGTAAAGTCCTTTAGAATTAACCCCTCGCGTAATATATAAAATATACGCTTAACAGACGCTACCCAATTCTCAACATATTTATTAAACGTTTTAAATTGTTGTTTGAAACCCCCTCCCCTTTTGACCCCCACACGAGTACGTGACAAGGTTGTGAAACAATACAATGCTGCAGGT